ATCCTATTCATACTTCCTGTTTACCCGTTTCTACACCTACATCCATTACAAACACTTGTATAACACATTCCCTGTTGTCTCCTTTCCTCCACAATTATATTTGGTATGTACGAAGGCTTTCAGGGGGCAATGTTTTAAGCTGATGAACCAGATTTTCATATCTCCAAAAATTTGTGTTATATTTAACTTAAACTGCATATGATATTACATATATCATATTGTAAAGTTGAATGAGTTATCCTGGTCACAAGAAGTTTGTCACACGCAACGTAATATTACCGTAATTGGTATAGTACAGGTGTGATGGTTCAAATACCAAAATGGCAACAGTAACAGAAAGACGGTGATGATAAAACACGAACACGGAGCCAACAGATGAGGTTTCAACTGGTCCTGGTATTATTATACTCTGCAAACATCAAGTACAATAACGCGGTAAATCTCACTACTCCAATAACTAGATACTTAAACTCCAATACAATTCAATCTCCGATCTGAACTCAGTGCTGAACAACTCCCCTATATATACCTCCACTGTCTATAAATAGACCATTACATCAGCATACATAATGAGTCTGGCACTTACTACAAATTTCTAAAATGTTTCATTACCTTCTATTGCCTCCTACAGTGTTCTATTACCTATTCAACCAGTTCCTAAAAATCTAGAATATTCTACCCAGACACAGTACGTTTCTAGAACATTCTCAGTGACACGGAAGTGGTAAACAAGTCGTATGCGACAAAGTGTCAACGTAGATGCTGTTACCGCTACCAACAACAGACATTGTAACCAGTATAACTCGCCACTTCATTATCATTACAGACAAAGGTGAACAGTCTTGATAGAACCTGAACTTCCTCGAGTGGTTGAGGAAGGTCGGGGTGGAAGATGTCACCAAGAGGCCAAACACCCGTAGACGTCTTCATTTTTAGTCCCCGTTCGGACAAAGTCCGAAAACGAGGACTTATAATTCGGTCTCCGTCCGTCCGTGCGTCCGTGTGTCCGTGCGTCCGTCCGGAGTCATATCTCAGAGTCCCTTGGACCGATTCCGTTCATTCTTTGCATGTGCCTAGTACTTTATGTGGGACATATGCACATGCAGTGGTTTAGCGATTCGATTCAAAATGGCCGACTGGCAGCCATCTTGTTTTTTGAAAATGTTGTATTTTGGACATGCTTTGTCAGTTTTCATTCAAACTTGGTACATAGATTATACATGTTAGGATACATGTCCATGATGATTTATTTCACAATTGGATCAAAGATGGCCGACTGGCAGCCATCTTGTTTTTTGAAAATGTCGTATTTTGGACATGCTTTGTCAGTTTTCATTCAAATTTAGTACATAGATCATACATGTTAGGATACATGTCCCCGACCGTCCGTGAGTTCCTGAGTCTGTCCGTCCGACCGTCCGTGTGTCCGTCTGTCCGTGCGTC